ATCATCGCTGCTGCGATTATCTCGGGGGCCGTAGTCGAGCGCATCCGCTTCTCGGCCTACGCCATCTTCATCGTGGCCTGGGTCCTTTCAGTGTACGTGCCCCTTTGCCACTGGATCTGGGGCGGTGGCTGGATCGCTGAGATGGGTGCCAAGGACTGCGAGTCTCTTTAGGAAAGGGTGTCAGCAGTCACACAAGTCTACCAGGCACCTGCTCTAGCTGCTCTAGCTGTAAAAAGTAAGTATAGCTGCAGTCACACTGCCGTCCAGCTATGATCTTTGCTAGAGGACTTTGCCGGTGGCACCGTCGTTCACATCAGCTCTGGCACCTCGGCGTTTGCACTGGCCTCGTTGCTTGGGGAGCGCAAGCACCGTGGCGAGTCCTTCCCCAGCAACCTGCCCTTCGTCATCTTGGGTGGGGGCATCCTGTGGCTGGGATGGACTGGCTTCAATGGTGGCTCCGCATTCGCTGCCAACGGCGACTGTGCCCTGGCCATCGCCACCACCTACGTTGCGGCCGCGGCCGCGATGATCACCTGGGTTTCCGTGGAGCGCATCCTCGATGGAGCTCCCACATCGGTCGGTGCCATGTCAGGTGCCGTGGCTGGCCTTGTGGCTTGCTCGCCAATGGCTGCACGTAATTAGGCGACGTAGGCCCAGCAAATGAGCTGAGATGAATGCTTGAATCCAGCCTGAGCCTGCGCCAGACCTAGTTTGGTTTTTGGAGCTTGAGCTGAGGTGAACATCACCCCGTGCGCCGGCTTTGTGGAGCCTTTGGGTGCTCTTGGCGTGGGTGCCATTGGAGCCATCTGCTGTGTGTTCGCAGCTCGTGGTCTCAAGAAGTTGAACCTCGTGGATGACTCCCTGGATTGCTTCAGCCTCCATGGCGTGGGAGGATTCGCGGGTGCCATCTTGGGTGGCTTCTTCGACCTTGAAGATGGCCTCATCTATGGAGGCGACGGACTGCTGCTGGCCAAGAACCTGGCCGGGGCCGCCTTCGGCGTGGTCTACTCCGCAGCCGTCACTGCGGTGATCTTCTTCCTGATGCGCCTCGTCATGCGCATGAGGGTCAGCGAGGAGCAGGAGCTGGAAGGCCAAAGGGCAAAGTGGGCGGGATTTGCGATTTGCGGGACGACACAAGATGAAACAC